CCCTCTATTGAAGACTGATCTAGCTTCATACCCAGCTTAAGACCTGAAACCTACAAGAAACATTCCTTGATTATTTCAGCCTACCTACAGAGGCGTACAGAGAAGCAGCTAGTGTTGAAAACACTTAGACCTCAAAATGTAGCTCCCTTTATAGCTTCGGAAATTGAGCCCAGCAGTCCAACAAACTTGCCCTTTCAGAAGTCATCGCTTCTCTTTCATCAAGACAAGTAAACATTGTCTTCTCTATCAGGAAGCGTGGCCCAGGAGGACAAGGGGATCCATTAGGCTTCTTCTGTAGCAACCTCAACATCTCAGTTGTAGGTTTGAAAGACTTTAGGAAAATTTACATTGAAAGAAACTCTGAGAAAGTGAACCATGGGAGTACAGGGAAATCAAGGTAAAGAGAAAGGATTTGGCCATGAGTCTCTCCAATCATTGCCAGGTGACAGTTGGCCTAATTCTCAGTGATCCATCCCAATATTCAACTATCAGGTCACCAGGTCTAACACAGCTCCTCCACAGAACAGATCCCTCAAATGTCCCTGCAGCTGAAAAGTTTATGGGTCGAAGAGTGTCCTTACCCCTGAAGTTATATTCACCTTCTAACCCCCAGAACATATGACTGTGACCTTATTTGAGAAAGGGTCTTTGCAGATACAATTAAGTTAATAATCTTGAAATGAGATCATCCTGGATTACCTGCATGGGTAATCCAATGACAAGTGTCTTAGTCTTCTATGTTGCTATAGCAGAAATATCCGAGACTGTGCGATTTATGAAGAAATGAGGTTTACTTGGCTCATGATTCTGGTGGCTGAAAAGTCCAAAGACATGAGGTCAGCATTTGTCCAGCCTCTGGTGCTTCATTACAACATGGCTGAGAGCAGCGGAAAGGAAAACAAGAGCATGCAAAGAGAGAGAGACCCATGAACACTCAACTTCCTTTTATATCAATCCTGCTCTTTTGGAGGGCTAATTAGTGAGAACTTTCTCCCTCCCTGGAGACAAGACAGCATTAATTATCCACTAAGAATACACCCCCATGTCCCAATAATTCTCACTAGGCCTGGTCTCCTAACATGGCCCCACTGGGCATCCATTTACAGTGCAGGATTGAGAGGCAGCACTCAAATCATATCAGCAAGTATCCTTTTAAGGGACAGAAGAGGAGAACACACAGAGAAGACAAGAATACCATGTGAAAACAAAGATAGAGCTTGGAGTCATGCAACCACAAGCCAAGGAATATCTAGAGCCCTAGAAGCTGGAAGAGCCACGGAAGTTTTCTTCCTTAGAGCTATTATCTGTAACCATTTTTGGACTTCCAGCCTCCAGAATTGTAAGAGAAAGCATTTCTATGATTTCAGTGTGTTGCAACAACCCTAGGAAGCTACTAATAATACAGAAGGCAAGTCCCTCCTTAACAGGGCACCTGAAAGGTACGTCTATCTACCACATAGTTCTCAGAAATGCTAGTGGAGTCATCAAGCATGACAGGTTCTTGTATACTAACTTGATAAATCAGCGTTTGGATAGTGATCCCAGGTGCTAAGTGCCCCCTCCCCAGAGGAGAAGCACTTGTCCAGTAAGTGCTGGGGTCAGGGTAGGGAGTGGGGGCAAGAGGAAGGGCTGTAAGGAACAAAAGTAAGGGAGGATCTTCAAGAAGGTTTCTGAGTGGAGTCCCTGCACTGAGTCTTGAAGAATGAGATGAGATTCTCTGGGGGAATGTGTTGAAGGAGACCTCAGACAGGTGGGGCAGCAAGCAGTTCTCAGTTAACAGAGAGTCCAAGGTGATGGAGGATGTAGAAGGCAGAAGTCCAGGTGGGGACCAGATGTGTGGGGGGTGGGGGAGGGGACACTGTGGGGGCATACTAAGCAGCACAGAACTTTCTCCTAGAGGTGAGTATAATCTGAGGCAGAACCTGGGCTTGTTTAGTAGAGCATGTGTACATTTCTTGGTTATCATAATGACTGGGAGGTTGTATTAGCAAGCAGTAGCCTGCAGTCAGAGGTGTTAATGTTCTGCATTGTGATGGACAGTCCAACACAATGAAGTTCTTGTCCCTCCTCAAAATGTCAAAATTGCCCATCCCCTAGAGAAAAATTGCTGAATGATCATTGGAAACCTGACCAAGTTTGAACAGGGAATTGACAAGATAGGAATTGCAAACAGATATTTGTGGTGCAATAGAATTGTGCAGTTCAGAGAGACAGATGCAAGGAGAAAAGCAGTTCATTACCTTCAGGGATAATGTAGGTATGAAGGTCTGAACTGGGATGAGGGAAGAAGAAATAGCAGG